CAGGCAGCACACAGATGTGCGCTCCTTCCACCGTCTCTCCCATCCTCACACTCCAAACCCATTGCTCAGAGATGTCCTGCGCGAAGCCCCACACCCAGCATCGCCCCATCCCACTGCATGAATTGCATCCTTCTGGCTGGCTGGAGGCAGTTATTCACTGTTGATACACAAATACTGAATGTTTTCCAGCACAACAGCTGAGTTTCCAAGCATGCTCCCAAACAAAGCACTGTAAAACAAACACACAGAGAGGAAGTGTAACGAGATCCTCATGCTGTTCCCCCCCAGGGCTGGGTGATGTTAGCCCCACATATGGCACATGCATTTCTCAAGGCCTGACAGCCAGCTGTGTTTCTGTACAACCTCTCTGGCCAGGCCAAGGGAGATGGAATAAATCAAATCCCACCAGTACCACAGGGCAGGATGGAGCAGCAGGAAAGTACCACTGCCCATGTATTTCCTCTAGCAAAGCTGCATTTGTAGTTGGCTTCAATTCACTTTTTCCATCATTCTTGCAATTAAAGAAAGTCAAGAGCAATCTGGTAGCAAAGGGTAGAGCAGCTCCGCTTCTTCTTGGTCAGCATCTTCCCAGGCAACAGTGATAGAACAAGAGGTAATGGCCTCAAGTTGCACCAGGATAGGTTCAGGTTGGATATTAGGAAGCACTTCTGTGAAAGAGGCACCAGTACAGGCTGACCAGGGAGGTGGTGGAGTCACCACCCCTGGAGGTGTTCAAGAACTGTGGAGATGTGACACTGAGGGACACGGGCAGTGGGCACGGTGGAGATGGGCTGATGGGTGATCTTAGAGGTCTTTTCCAACCTGTGCAGGATTTGTGATTCTGTGATTCCCCAGCAGGTCATTCACAACACGGAGTCTTTTGAGCCTACCACAGGAAGTTCTCTCTCCGCTCCTTCGTGATCCCAGCTTTGGGAATTCAGCACAGGAGACTGGCTGGTTATCCAGCAGAATATGGATGGAGAGATTGTGGTAAATCCACACCAGCTGTGACTCCAATCCCTCTCGAAGGCTGTTGGTGAAGCAACAGAGAAACGCTGAGCTGTTGGTGACTTCTCTTATCAGAAGGCAGTCAGAAGTGCTATTTCAGTCCTGATGAGAGCTCCAAGAGCTCTGCCTAGCCAGCCCTCCTATGCATTGCCTTAGCAGGCATGACCCACTCAGTTTCAGAAACATCAGACATAAATACCTCTAAGCAACCGCAGCCCATGTGAAGGGCAAAGAAAGACAATATCTGCAGCATCCCTTTACACTCCTACCTCACCCATTTTCCCTATCACCCTTCAACCATCTGCTATTGCCTTCAGCTTCCTCCCAGCTCACTCTTTGAAGGCAGAGGATCCCTGCCAGCTGGGACTGTGCCCACACTGCTGGAGCATTGCTTGCTGCCTGCCTGGGGCAGCTGCCAACCCAGTCACCCCGCAGCAGCCCAGGCTGGCTGCTAACCACAGTTCCTCCCACACAAGGTTGCTCTCAGTGACTGTGGATAGCTCTACTTTTGCACAGGTTGGAAACAAAGGAGTCTATCACAGGTTCAGGCCAATGTATGGAAAGCACCAAAGATTTGGATGTCTTTCTGGACTACCCAAGTTTCTTTGATCTGCAGCTGAGATTGGAAGTTTCAGAAGGAGTATTTACTCATCGTTTTAGGTTATGTCCAATCTCTGCCTTCACCAGAAAAAGGGGTCAGATGCACATGGAGAACACAAACCTCTAAGTTACAAATTCAGCACTGCTCACCTGTGAGTAGCAGAACAGAAAGCTCCCTGGTTCTGGGATCTGTCTGAGGTCAGAGTTGGGATGCTGGCTGCAAACTGCGCATGTCATCCAGTCTAAGTTTTGTTTGGGAACTCTAGAGACTGGAAAAATTGTATGGGAAAAAGAGACTCAGATAACAAAGCAGTAAACCAGAAAGAGTGACACTTCCAATGATCAAGACACACATGCCTGGGACAGAGTTACACACAACAGGTGGAAGAACCAAATTTAAAGCCTTGGCAATAGCCTGTGTACTTGAGAAGAGCCAGGATGCTTTGGGAAACAGAAGAGTCAGAATTGTTGCTTGAAAAGCTCTTGATAAAATTATCTGCGAAGTACAGGGAAATGCCTTTAAAAGCCAAAACCCAACTTTGTACCAGAAGAAAAGAGAGGACTAAGGGAAAAGGGCCACGCTGAAGTCCTGTGGAAGACATAGGGTAAAGCCCACCAGAATGGCTGGAAGAAGGCTACAGCCTTGCCTCAAAGCCCCAGTGGGCTCCCTTCCCCCTCCTAAGCACACACCACAGAATTACCCAGGGATGCTGGTCTTATTAAAAAGAAAATTCTTTGCTTCGATGCCAGAGACTTATATAAAAAAAATTCATGGTCAGATTAATGAGAGAGAAAGTCATTAGAAATCAAAAATGAGATAATTCTGCTGTAGACATGAGTGATGGTGAGAAATAAATTATATTTGGCTGACATGACTTAATTAGTTGGATACATGGCGCTTTCTTAAATTTGCTTCAGTGAAGCTTTTAAGCTTTTGACACATAAATTCCCAGCTAAATAACCTACACGTCAAAGCAGCCAGTTGCACCTTCCCTGCCAAGAGATTTTTGATCATATTACTTTAAAACTTCATTCTTTTGTTCAGGGGTTTGGTTGTTATCAGGGCATGGCACTTAAACAAGAGCCAGCTCTGAGCTGGTTTCTGAGGACAGCTGGTACTGGTGTCCTCCCAGCAGCTCCTGGTGGGATGGGAAGAAATCAAGCCAAGACAAATGGCAATGACTCCATTGCTGTGAGCAGCCTGAATAACCAGAAATACTTTGTGCTGCTGCAGTGCCTCTCATCAAGCACCTCAGAAGACTTTAATGAGCATGAATTAAGCCTCACAATTATAGCTGACTGTATAAACAGTTGCAAATATTCCTCAAGGATGCTCTTCAGTTCTGAATCGTTACAGCGATAGTGGCTGACTTCAGCAATCCTATTTAAATCCCATTTGTGAAGGCAAAAGTCAGGACCTAGAAGTCACAGAGGACCGGATTGTGATCCATTGAAAAGAAAGGGAAGCAGCAGTAAATAGGGCTAATAGGTTGGCTGATCTAAACTCTTCTCACCAAGCTATCCCATCCTCTACACCAGTTGGTCCCTCCCAGTGAGTTAGTGCATGGGGCAAGGAGCTGGAATATCCCTCCCAATGAAGTTACATCCCCCTCACGTTGGGGAATCTTGGTTGGCCCAAAGCTCTGCAAACTCACAGTGGATGTGAAGTTTTATCCCAGCCAAAGGTGCCAACACTGATGTTTGACACAGGGATTCCTCCCTCCAATAAAGAGGCCATTAAAGAAGGTGCTGAACACTCATCTCCCATAGAAATGCCTGAAGGATTTATTACTAATTTATTGCTATTACCTTTTTGAATATATGTATTAAGAGTTAACACTGTGATTCTTAACCACAGAGAGAAATTGGAGGATAATAAAGAAAGGCTTTATTTGAAGCTATTAATTCAGATCTAGTGGCTAACAGAGATTTTTTTTTGAAGGGGAAGAAAAACACAGATAATTGAGGAAGAGAAGCAAAGCAAACCCAATTGCGGTTCCCCAGCGGCTTGGGAACCAGGGCCACCAGCACCCGGGTATGGGAGGTACACACAGCACTCCAATCCCAGGGAAAACACTCACAGAAGTGACCCCTCCCTGAAGCCAGGCCCAAGCAAAAAGCATCTGAGTCTTCACAGTTCCCTCAAACGAAACATTTTGGTCCCAAACCCAATAATGGGGAAAAAAAAAAAAAATTAGCCTTTGTCAAAGCAAACTCATTTCTACAAGTTCCACACCTGACTTTTGTGCCTTGCCTGCACGAGATAAAAGTAAATCCACCCCAGTAGTCACCATCATTAGCACCAATCTTTCAGCCTCACCTGCTTCTCCATCACATCATTCCAGCTCTTCAGACGCCTCTTCCTTCCACAGAGGTCCCCAGAGCCACCAGAAGGCTTCACCTTCCCTCCTTCGGGGAAAATGCTCCTCTATATTCAGAACCTCATCCCAGAACTCTTATCTTACAGGAGCACCTGGCTTTGAATGGGACGCAGCCAAGGTGGAAGTGGGGTAACGAGCTGCTCAACCCCTTCACCTGAAGTCAGCTCTCAGCACATCCAGCTGCAGCACTCAATGAGCATATGGGAATTTTAAAGTAAAATCTACCCTGATTATACATCTTAAAAATGACTCACCTATAGTCTTCGTGTTGCCTGAGGTTGGGAGCAGCTGATTAAAATCCTGACAAGCCGGAGGCATGCGGGTCAAATTCCTCTTCAATCGCTACATTGCACACTGTGCGTAATTCTGATGGCCATTCCACGGCTCTGAAAAATGGGCAATCTGAGAGATTCCATCAATTACTCTGCACCGGATGCAAGACTTGCTAAGAAAAATTAAATTATTTTAATTCAGTTTAGTTAAATGGCAATTGCTCTGTTTCATAAATCTGCACTGCTCTTCAGGCACTGCTTTGTATAGCACTGGCCTGGGATTCCTCTGAACTTGATGATAATGAATTTTTATGTCTTAAAGTGCTGAGTGTGTAGGAGCAGCAGCAACCGCTGGCCCCAGAGGTTTGGACCAGCATCAGAGCAATGACTGCAAAGCTTTGGAAAGAAGCTTGGCTCTGGAAAGATCCCCACCACCAACAGCATGGAAGGACCAAACCTATCCTCCAGCATCCCAGCATGGGAGAATGGCCACCATCCACCATGAGCACCCAAGTCCTGCAGCGGGGCTGAGGGCAAGCCTTGGTTCTTCTTCCCCCAAATCACATTTGATGAGATGTGTTGGATGGGTCAGAGCAGCCCACGCAATGCGGCTGAGCAAAACTCCACCCAAGGATGCCTCCAGCTCCCAAACACACCCTGGGGCTTTGCATGGAGCCTGCAATGCCCAACCCAACTGGGGAGCACCCTCAGCCCAAATGAATGCAGCTGCACCCATTGCTTGGTAAAATAGAGTTTTTATTTGTTCATACAAATAGTATGAATTATCAGAATTTCATTTTCCTAGAAACATCTTTCTCTGTGTAAAATTAATTTGTGTTGTACATACCACAAAATACTTGATTTACATTTTTTAATCAGACTCTCTTTTTTGTGGGTTTTTTTTCTTTCCATTTTGTTGTTGTTGTTTTTTTTTAATTATTATTACTATTTTTTATTTTTTTTTTTAACAAATGGGCTACTCTACAGTACCATGTTACAGAGAACGCATCACTAATACCTGTACTGCACTTCAGAATACAGGACTGAATGAAACTCAGCCATAAATTAATGTTACAATGTGAAGGTTTAAAAAATAAAATAAAATAAAAAAAAGAATTTCTAATCACACCTCCAAGCTTAACTTCAAACAAAAAACAAACAAACACCAAAAGTTTTGTTTTTAAATGATGACAATAGAACTGATTCCAGTATTAGCAACCGGCCGTACACCATGGGGAATTCACCTTTGCTGTCACACTGTCAGGTAAGGCCTCTACAGTGAATGAAGTCTACTACACACTTCATTACAGAGGATACTGAGGCAGGGCTAACCGTTTGCTCACAGTTAGAAGAGTTATTATTCACCCTCTGTATTTCTGCTCTTCTACAGGATTGCTTCATGAGAGCGTTTTGCAGCAGGGTTGGATAACACAAATGAAGCCTGAGCTCTGCCACGCAGCTGAGGAAGGCATCGGGATATTAACAAGTTGTATCCTAGAAGAGAGAGGGGATGCTGAATCTTCCAGCACAAAAAACAGGCGGGCACACGCACCCTAAGGGAAGCACATGGCAGGGAAGCCACAGAGTGGGAATCACTTGGGGAAGGCAAGCTTTTTCCTTCTGCACTTTGCATAAGCCAGCTTGTAGGAATACTGAGAATGTTGGGACCCCTCATCACTTTTCCAGCACCAAGTGTTTCCTTCTCATCACCCCATCAGCCCCAAGCAGTTCCTTCTCCCAGGCCACCCAACACCATGGGGTCTGCAATGTGCTCATGCATCTGTCAGTAGGGAACGGGGCCTGGCTGGGCACCAAAGCCCCCAAATGTGCATAGATCCAACCACCACCATGGGTTTCAGCTGTGTTTGTGGGACAGCGGGGTGTGCTCTGCTAACCTGTCGGGTCCCACACTCCTGTTGGTGGATGGTGGCCCTAAGCATTGCTTCACTGCCAGAAAAGGCTTGGTGCAAGGAGGAGAGGATTTGCATCACACTTTCTTTGTAGGAAGACGTGTCTGGGGGCAATGCCCACATGGGGAGCTGGTCCTGCTCACTGCAGTTTTGCTACCTGGCATCATGCTTGACATCTCCCACTCCTTAAGGACATGCACAAGGGGTGTGAACCCCACACACCCCACCAGCATGGACAAGGTACCCAATGGAACGCTGCTGTGTCAGCCCACAGCCCATACAGCTTCACCACAGCCCTGCAGGTGTTCAGCTGAGCTAACAGAACCTCTGACAGCAACAAGGCAGTGGGCACACACAGTGATTACCAAAACCTGCTGAGCATGCAAAACACAGCTGGAGCTTTTCGGAGAGCCCTGCCAACCTGTTCTAACGTTCCAACACATTCAATTCCACTTCTGGGGAAGGATTTCCAGGTCACTGCACACGGCTTGACAGCGAGGTGCTCAGAGCCTCCTATCCTGCCCAGCTGCCAGCCTCCCCCTGCTTTTCTATAGGTTTGCCCTCATTGGCAAAGCAGCATTTTTCCCAGTTCTAAGCACATACTGCTCCTTGAGAGCATGGGAAATGTGTTCAACCAAAATACAGCAGGAGTAAAGAGGGCCAGCTGTTGTTTCCCAGCAGGGGCAGTGCCCTGGGGGGCAACCGAGGGCACAGTGCTAGGCTCAGACTTGGGGGCTCAGGTGGCTCTGCGGGTATCTCTGGCATCTCCCCCCGTGGGGCAGGCACCACATGTGGCTTCCGAGCAGCACAGAGTGCATCGCACTCACATATACATGCATTTTCACATTTGTCCTGCAGTCAAGATTTAAAATGCATAGAGGGACTGTGGGAAAGAGCCTCCTCGACACAGGGCAAGGAGCAGCAGGCTCAAGAGTCCACTCTGCCTGCGCCGCAGGCTCTGCAGCATCCCCACGAGGAAAGGAGCACAGGACACCAGGCAGGGGCTCTATGGCTTGGATTCCCCACGCTCTGACCCACCAGCTCTGCACCCACCCGCCCCACAGAACCCCTGGGATGAGGGAGCAGAGACCGGGACACCGGAATAGGGAAAGCAAGTGTTTATAAAGGCCAGATACCCGTAACAAAAATAAATTTGTGCTTTCCCCTCCCTCCCTTCCCACCCTCTGTTTCTTTTTTTTTTTTTTTTGCCTTTTTTTTTTTTTTTTTTTGCTTTTTTTATTTTTAAATACAAATCTTCTTTAGGAAAAATGGAAGCACCGTCTGTTACAAACCAAACCAAAAAAAAAAAAAAAAAGAGGAAAAAAAAAAAAAGAAGAGACATATTAGAATTAAACACGGTGGAATGTTAAACAGGTTACAGGCTACCGTTCTAGCCAGTGCGGTTAGGCAGCTTAGTGAATTAATTGCTTAGGAATTAAAAATAAATTATTATAAAATAGATTTCTGTACATTTTACATACATATATATCTCTTTATATACGCAAACTGTGATGGGCAAGTAATTACAGGGGACTTTCCCACGCCAGCCTCAGTCCCAGCCGAAGTCCTGCCCCGTCATCTGGTAGAACTTCATGTTGAAGGGCCGGTAGAAGTCCCGCAGCCTCTGCACCACCTCCTGGTCGATGTCGGGGTGGGTCCTGCCTTTCGTTTTCCCCAGGCAGTGGGGTTTGCTGCTGCCCTCCGCCTTCTTCAGGCAGGGGAAGCCCTTGGTTTTGTTGAAGTAGAAGTGTTTGTCGGTGATGATCCTCTTGAGGCCCAGAAAGTCCTGGACCCTGCCCAGCTCCCCCGCGGGGTCGCTGATGAGCCTCTCCCCGCTGACGAAGAGGATCTGCCCGATGGGGAAGTAGAGCAGCCAGTTCTCCAGGTGCTTGGCGTAGATGCCGATCTGGATGGCGCTCCACGAGGTGTCGATCAGGCCCGTAGTCCTGTTTTTGAAGGTCAGGCTCTCAAAGGTGGGGATGTCGGGCTTCTTGGAGAGCGTCTGCGTGTAGTCCGAGATGGCTCTGGTCACGGGGTCCCGCACCACCACGATCAGCTTCGTGCCCTTGGCCATGGAGGAGATGCGCGCCGGGGCCTCCTTGGTGACGAAGTAGCTGGGGGTCTTCTCCATGGTGATCTGCCCCTCCAGGGTCCTGGGCATGAGGTCCCTGCCAGCAAAACGTGCAGGTTACAACAGCAGGTAACAGCAAAATACACACGTATATATAAATACAGGTACACATACATACGCAAGAATTTTCTTCCTTAACATGCTTGTATGGGCCATTTAGCTCACATGGATAAATCCATTTTCCAATGATCTAGGGGCTGTGGGTATTGTTAAACAGTACTGTATTAGAAACCCAGCTGAGCAATGTCCCACTTCTCCAGGGGTGGGGGAGCCAGGCTGTAACTCCACACCTGCAGTGTGGCTGCGCACACCACGCCAGATGGTCAGGATGAGTCCACAGCAGCACTGTGCATGGCTCACGTCAGCACCAGACTGCCTCCATGCCCAGCCCACAGCTCATCTTCCCAAGGGTAACAAGAGGAAGGTCTACTGAAAGCCAAGAGCTCACCAGAGCATGCCCACTCTGCTTTCCGTTAGCATCTCCAGTGTTACATTTCTCTCAGTTTAGGCAAAAAAGAGCTATTTGCCCACAGCATCTGCCTAGCTGGTCACCCAACAACTGGGTCCTCAGCAGGGTATTTCCCTGTCAAGCACCAGAAGGAGCTGCTGGCGGCATCTCCAGCACATTCCAGCCAGTACCCAGCAAGGACAGCCTGTCTCCTCTAGCGCCACATGGGCCACAACCAGTTGGGATACAGGATGCAACCAGGAGAACACAACCTAAGCTTGCACACCCTCACAATACACAAATCCTTGAATTCTGCTCTATTTCCCTGGTCATTTCTAATTAACAACGCTGATAAAAACTGGGTAACTTTCTAAAATTACTGAAATAGCTCAAAGCAAGAAAAGTCATTTTTTCCTAACATTCACTAGGCAAGCCTAAATATTTTAGACCCTTTGCCAATGCTTTTGCTTCACAACCCCATGGGACTCATTTACTCTGGGCTGAGAGACAGTTAAAGACAGCAAGAGGGGAGTCTGTCACAAAATTAAAGCTATAAAACTTGATTAAGTTTTCAAAGCATCCACCATCGCAGAGAAATGATTGGTGAGAGTGTGCTCTGCAAGCCTCAAGCAGCCTTAGCCCAGCTGTACTGCACTGCACACAGAGGCTGCTTGTTCCCCTCCCACATTGCTTTATGCCTCTACAGCAAAGATCACTGTGAGCCCTCAAGATTCCAAATGCTGCTGATAACTCGTGCTAATGCCAGTGGTTTCCCTGAGTAAGAAGGCAAAGGGAAAAATGACCCATCTGGGGGTAAATAGCAGGAAAATCCATAATGAGTGGGCTGACAGAACAACAAATTGCTGCATGGCCATGGAATTTGGTCAGTAGCTGTTTAGGTAACTGCTGTTTGATGTAGATTGTACACAGTATTCTATTTCACCTTCTGGCATTAAGTTTATGCAATGTGTTTACTGCCAAGGGACACGCAATGCCCACACCTGTGGGCTCTGCACTGCACTGTTCATAGAATCATAGAATTATTAAGGCTGGAAAAGACCTCCAAGATCATCTAGTCTAGACCCACTTGGGTCAATAGGGCAGTCAGTGGACCTGGGACAAAGGGGCAAGCATGCTGGGGCAACCTCCAGCCAACAGTGATGGCAAACCCTAGGGCTGCCTTCTCAGCATCACACAAATGGAGTTTCTCATGCAGACGAAAGTCGCCCCAGCCTATGGGCACCTGGGATATGAATGCTGCTGCAAGTCAGGAGCTGTCATGTGCAGACAAACAGAATCAAAACACAGCTCTGACTAACCCTGTGCCTTGCTGGCTCACTCCACAAACCGGTAACGCCTTCGGAGAACAGCGCGAGTCAGTGACGCTCAGGGAGGGACTCCTAAATCTATCATGGGCTGATGTGGATTTCGACAGACTACTCATTAAGTGGGGTCTCTTTTTTATGGCCACGTTAAATCTGAGCTCTACATCAATTGATGGCCACCGATTGATTTAAGGTTTCAATCCACGAAGCCTCCAATGGCCGGGGACCTGCCAAGAGCGGAGACTGCTCTGCATGATGGGCCTAGGTCCAACTGAAGGCAGTGAGTCCAGCAGGTCACTCTGCATTGATGCCCTGGACATCAAGGTCAACTTCTCCTGCAGGGCTGCTGCAATCAGTGTTTACTGTGCTCCTGGTAATGATGCAAGACTTATTTTTTCCTCCTTGCACAAGAGAGGCCTTAGGCAGGGCTCTGCCCTGTGGAAGAGGAGGAAATTGCTGGGGGCAGAGTTGCTGAGTCAGGTGATTGGGTTGGGAAACTCTTAATGAGCGTTTCCATGAATTCAGAGGAGTGTACTGCAGAAGTGGAAGAGCACGAGAGGCACCCATAGGGCCACCAGCACCTGAGCCCACCCCTGGTTTGTGCCTGAGGACATGCAGCACATCTTGTTTCCAACAGCTGAACCAACTGAAAAGTGGCTGCACAGAAACTGGAGAACAGCAGAAGTCAAATATCATGGCCCATGGATGTGATTTGAACCTCTGACAGCACCACATCCAGGAAAGCAATGTTTCATTGCACGTCTGTAGCGAGCAGCTTTTCCATGGCTTCCATAACCTCCCACACAGGCATCACCCATCATGACGGCAGCCAGAGACACAGCCTTGGGGACGGGAGGAACTGGTATGTTTGCTGCTGTGAACTCACACAGGTGGAAGAATCATTGAGGAGGGTTTATTCCCATTCAAACCACACCTGGAGAAGGGCAAACTGGCCCGGGTGTAGCACTGTGGCTCCAACACAACACACCAGATGTGTACATCGATGGAAGCAGGACCAGATTCCAACTCTGAATATCTGCTCCCGAGGCTCCCAGACAGCGATGGCTGCCTGAGTGGTAGAGAGCGAGGGAAGGAGCTATGATGGCTGGAAGAGCTGCAGCCATGGTGTACTGGTGGGATATGGCCCCTCTGGGAGATACAGACAGGGGCAGCTTCCCTGTGCAAGGCAGTGATGGCAGAGGTGCAGCCACCACCACTACCTTACGGGGAAGGGAGATGATAAAGCTGAGGGCAGGCCGTGGGAAAGAGATCTGAGCACAGACAAAAGCTGCTGCACCAGTCGGGACAGGGCTGGATAGAGACAGTGCAGAGGGCTGCAGTGGATAGCAGGGTGGGAAATAAAGATGGTATGAAAAGCTTGGCAAGCAGTCTTCCTGTCTTGTTATCCTCCTGCCTTCTGGCAACCTGGAATCAAAGACCTCTGGAGCCAGTGTGTGCACTCAAATCATCCCATTTTATATTGACTGTGGACTGCCTGAGACTTTGAAACCCTTTTTGCCTTGAGAACGTCCCACAGCAGAGAGTCCCAGTGCTGCAGTTCTATCTCTGAACCCTTCCCCTCCATCCCCACTAGGGAGGAGACAAGGATTCTGCTTTGTGAGCACAGAAAAGGAAAGTGAGGATAACATTGCCAGCAAATTCCTGCATCCCTGATTTGGGCAGCCAGCACCTGGAGGACCTGCAGGTCCCATGAGATGATGGAGATACAGTGGGATCACAGTCATGAATTTCCTGCAGGCAGAGAGCAAAGCCCCTCGCTCTGAACATGTCAAGAGAGACAGAGGAAAAGCTTTTCCTCTAATGAATATTTCCTCGGTGAAGGCTTGCATCCTCCGTAGGCGAAGTGATAGGCTTAGTCTAAAGATGGATTGGCCTACTTTACCTATTAACCACTTAGACTAATGTAATAAAGGCCCTCCTCGTTCAAACAGCCCTAATTCCCAGCCCTGCTCAGCTCTGAACTCCACAATTAGATGGGATGCTAAAATAACCCCACCAGGCTGCTGCCAGGGGAGACATGGGAGGAGGGGGGGTAGGGGGGATTTTATTTTGCTTTTTAAGTACAAACTTCTCTAATGTGAAAACTAGACTCAGAGAGACATAAATTTACAAAGTGGGAATGACAGGTGGCCCCACGGTAATCCAATCCTGAAGGCTAATGCCCTTTGTGGCAGCTTTTGTCTGCGCAGGGGGGGTCCAAGCTAATCTGCTGCCACTTCTCCAGGAGGGGCTGGGGGCTGCAGGGACCTCTGTGCCCTGTGGCTGCAGTGTCGGTGGCAGGTAGCACAGAATGGCATGCAGGACAAACTGCAGCTTCCTGGGGAGGGAGAGGAGCAGAGCTGTGAGGGATGTGCTGGAGCCTAGCAGGGCTGGTAGCATCACTCAGCTGGGAATCCCATGGCAGGGAGGGATGAGTGGTCCCTATACCTGCTGCGCTGCAGTGAGTCACTTCTGCCACCACCACTGCATGGCTGCAGCGATGGCTCGTTCCGGTCTCAAAGCCCCCACCTCCAGCCCAGTCCTTCAGCTCAACCCCCTCCAGACACCTAAGCTGTCTCAGTTTCCCTCTGCAAGAACAACAAAACTTCCCTCCAAAAAGGAGAGGGCTGTGTCTGTGTAGGCAGCTCCAAAAAGAGAAGTGTCATTACGTTTGAGATAAAACACCAACATTTCCTGATGCCATCAAGATGACTGCAGGCTGTGGGGCCTTCACACAGACCCCGAGGCAGATATGATGAGAATGGATTTTTTGTGCAGGATTTCTAGACTTTCCCCAGAGCTTGCCCTAGAAGTAAGAAAAATAGGGAAGAAAGGGGAGAAGAGCAAGTCAAACTATTTCGGATACCAGCCATGCTCACATCAAACTCAGCCCTGTAATCCAGAACCATTTGCTTGGCCACACAGCAGTGGGCATGTAAAGCATCCAACCTATTCCTGGCCACTTTGTACCCAAATTCCTGACTATGTTTCAAGACAACCAAAATTTGGAAACATGACAGTTTCTGGGGAATGTCCCCCCAAAACCTCACAACAGTGAGGCAGTCTGACAGACCACATGGATCTGACAGACCAGAAATGGAAATAGCAGACACATTCTCCCAGCCCAGTAGGAAGCTTTTAGCCCTATATCAGCACCAGGGAATGAGCAAAGGTCTGGGAAGCAAAAACCCAGAGCATCACCAGCATTGCAGCACAAGGCCAAAGGCCACCACACTGGACCCATCCTGATCCCATGCCTTTAAC